CTCACAATCTCTTCACTCTACTTCACTCTAATGGAACCTTTCTAACCTCCAGGCTCTCTAGAGCTCTCACCACCTCCTCTTCACTCCCCTCGCTCGGCCAAAATCTTTCCTTTAATGATGTGCATGAGTTTTCTCAAGAGTTGCTTAAGCACCCTTCCAAAATTCGGTCTTATCCATTGCACAAGTGCACATAACCGTCGATCTCTCCGTCGGCGGCCTTCTGGAGAATTTGTCCTGTAGCATCGGGAAAAACTCGCCGTCGGCGGCGTCGATGGCGCCGTCGGCGCCCTAGTTCAAATCTCTAGTTCAAATCTCTACATTTTGGTCCTTTTTGCTCTAAATTCGCTCTTTTTTGCATCTTTTTGCTCCATTGACTCTAATTCATCATTCTTGCAACAAAACATCAAAAATACATTTCTTTAAAGTGTAATATTATCAAAAACGATATGAAAATCTCATGAAAATCTCAACATATTTCTTCTGGTCACTTACTCATTTCATTCAACATTATCTGAAGAGTGACTGAAGGATATAGTTATTATTTGATCTTCAAATGCATCTTAAGAGTTGTACTCATCATCAAGATTAAGTTCTTTGTATTCGTCATTGGCAACCTCGAGATTTAGCCATCAAGTAGAAAACATAAACCTTTCATTCCAGATTCTTGATTGGTGGGTTGAATGTTATTCTGAATATTAATGGCGGCTCTTGGTTTACTCAAAATAACAACCACCTAGTCAACTTTATCTCTTACTCTATGTGGATATCGAAGATAGTAAACCTGACTCGTCTGTCAGACTATAATAAAATGATCAAATTTAGCATACCTTTTGTTCATTTTCACTTCTATGGTATTATATAGTTGGTTTACCCTTATTCCATGATTAGAAATAGAATCGAACCGAGTACAATTGAATTGGAATACACTTTCTCCAATAGAGCCAGTGTAAGGCAGTTCAACAACTTCTTTCATAATCCCATGATAGTTTATCTCATCGTCCGATTTATCGTTTGCTTTAACACAAACATAGAATTACAAGACTTTTTTTTATTTCGGACCAGGATCTCGTATAAAACTTGCACTGATTTACATCATAAATTTGCCATATTTTCACGATGCACATAGGTCCACAAGCAAGATATATCAACTCTTAATTTGTCACTCCATTTCTTCAATCATGAATTTATTAATATATACATAAGAAATCATGTGCAATGAAAAGTCTCGTGCCACATGAGAAATGAATAAGTCAAATTTAACTCACATGTGTTGTAAACAACTTAGGGAAGTTTTTCTCAATGACTCTGTTAGTGTCATTGCCCTTCACTATATTTTATGCATTCATGAATAAACTGTTCACACATTGAAATATCATTGAAATACATAATCATGACACTTTTCAGATAAATGAGTGAAAAATTATAATAAAAATTTGTCTTACTCAATAAAGGGTGTACTTTGTCGCAATTGAGAAGAACATAAAATGAGGTTGCTCTAAGTTCCTGATCAATAAAATAACATATGTGCATGTCCCCGATGATTCAGTTACTGCTGGAAAACAGAACATGTCAATGGTGGTAACAAAGCCAATGAGTCTTCTGAGGATTCTTCTTCCACAAAATAGTAGGAGCCAAATGTTGTCGCCTTCTGCAGTAAATATGCTTCACATATCAATCATTCTAGTTGGACTTTACTCTTCACAGTTCTTTTTTAGTTTATTAAAAAATCTAAAAAAAGAATGTTGCTTAAACATATATTGGCAATCTTCTTTATAAATGAGTGACTAAACACAGTTTCAAAGTAGTTGCCTCTCAAATAAATACTTCCAACAGTATTGTATCGGGTCTCCACTTAATGTCTTGTGGGGTAAATGTACAGGTAGATGCTCCATCGAGTCAAAGAAACTTGGCAAAAATATTCTCTTCAGTTTTTCAAATTGTTACATGAATGTTTACTTCCAACTGACGTACACCATTAAGTTCCAAATGAGCTACACGTAGTTCCTTAAAAAACACACAGAATTCAATCAATGGATTAAGAACTTCACTCGACAAACAACTAAATGTAGTTGACATCAAATTTTGTAGAAAATTATGACAATCGTTGCTTTTCATTCCAAATATTTTTCCAGCACACACATCAACACAATGACACAAATTCAAAGCATATCCACTCAAAAATTTTAATTATTAGAGCCACTCATAAGTTGTTCTTCGCTGGGACAAAGTAGTGAATATTTTGCTTAGGGCTTAATGAGCTTACTGTCAAAAGTTTCTCGGATCTCCAACTCCCCCTTTTTCATATCTCTTTCACATTAAGTCTGGCAATCATGTTATCCTTCATTTTTCTACTAACACCCATAATAGTGCTAAAGATATTATCAGAGAAATTGTTTATATGTGCATGAAATCTAGATTGTGTCTGATCATGTTATTTTTCCAATAAGGCAGTGTTGGCATCAATTTTTTAAGTCACGTGAGAAGGATGTTTGCTTAAGGTTACAAGTCTATGCCCAACTTCTTGTCATCCACGACATCCAATCAGACTTCCTAGTATGTGTCATGAGCACGAAATCAGGACTTGTATTATATTTTCCCTTCCTAGGCAATATTCGCTGTGAGATGACTTTAATTCTGACTTGAAACATGTTGGACACTTGCCTTGATCTTTAGAGACATTATTCCATCTATATGGACCCATCTTTGGCCAACTGGAGCCACAAAGTTCGCCCACGGGCGCTATAAGGTGAGAGTTAGGTTTTCAAACTATTTTGCGCCATTCGACAATGATCGCCATTTTGAGGGATCATTCAGCATTAATGCACGTCCTTAGGCCTTCTACGATGGTTATGGATCATTTCACATTTATTTGGGACCTTCCGAGACCAATGGAAGTCGTCAGAGACGTCCTTTACACACTTAGGGCATGAAAACATAAATTTGAACTAGGGCAACCACGCCTAGTTTTGGTCTGGGCATGCAAATAACCCAAATATAAATCATCGCCAGACCGTCGGTAATTTACATTATTACTGACTGATAAAACATTCGCTTATTAAAAAAACACGTCGATTAGTACCCATCAAATGACAGGTTCATGAATAACCGACACAATATGGTTGTTGATTAATATTTGCTTTTAATTGACGGCATAAGACATCGACAATGACTAAAACAGTCGGAAAAAAGTTACTATTTTTAAGCGACGACATATTTTGTTGTTAAGACGTCACAAATAACCCAAATAATAAATCGTCGCTACACCATTGAAAAATAAAATATTATTTTCAATACAAATAACCCAGATAATAAACCGTCAGTTTTTACTATCGATTTTAATATTTTTTCTTGTGATATTAATGGCCTTCTTTTGGCCATGTTATTTCTATCTCTTCTGATCATCTTTAGCAATTTACACAGTCTTCAAGTGTCACGCCTTAATGACCTCCAAATTGTCATCTCAACCTCCAAGATAAAATAAATATGATTTTTCTTCCACACTTCTTCATGATTTTCCCATATTGGGTTTTCTATCATCTTTAAAGTCATAGTGGCTCCACTTCAAGAAAAATGCCAACAAAATTTGTCTTGAAATTGAAAATACATCAATTTATTCAGCATATATCAAATCTAATTTATATCTTATGTATATTCATAAATGATGAACTTTACCTTTGAATCTCACATGTCATTTTCATCGCACATGTCATTAGACTTCCCCATTCCGCAGAAAAGTTTTTGACTAACTTCTCCACAATAACAAAAAAACCAACTTCCAAAAAGCAAACCACACATTTATTTCTGAAAAACGTGTTACACAGGAGTTCTTCATAAATTCTTAAATATTGAAATTAAAATAATACTCAGCTAAAATACAAAACATTTAAGTAATAAATCACACTAAAACTCATTATTTGTATCAAAATAAATTATATTATTTATTATACTTCTGATTAAATGTCATTTCATTATTCTCCTGCGCTAAACCACTTCATGATTTACAAAAAAAAAATAATAATAATAATATTGAAACGAAAATATTTTCACATGAAAAATCCGGCATAAAAATCAGCAAAACTATATTTTTCAAAATATATTTATACAGGTCAGGCTGTTGGCTAACTAGCTAGTGGTAGTCGCTCTGTCAGTCGTCATTACAGGCTATTAGTGCAGCGTTTTCGTAAAAAAATAAGAAACCTGCACTTATAACGGGCATCCACTAACATTAACAATCTCGCACCAACCAGAAAAAAATTTAACAACCGTAACCTTGGCCGAAAATAACCGGGAACTGTCAGCCTCTAATGGGCACCTTAATGTCAGCCTCTAATGGGCGCAGCCCGCGAACCGAACATCTGCTCGAGGAGGATCACGATGGTCATAGCAAGGCCAGAATCAAATCCTGGATGTACGATAAGGCGGAAAACGTCGCCACCAAAGGCCACCCCACCTATCGCCTCCTTTCGCCGTATCTCCAACACCGGCCGTCTCTGTTCGTCGTACACCACACACGATCTATGCGAGAAAGAACCCTCCACGCAGTAGATCGGCCCTTTCTCGCCGCCGGAGGGCTTGACGTGCGCGAGCACTTTGGAGGGGAGCAGCGTCAAGTGCTTCCTAGCTGAGAACCGCCGCCTCAACGCTGGTACCTCTCCCTCGAAGATATGCCAGTGATCCACAAGGGTTAGCTTCTGCAACAAAGTAGAAACAGAGCAAATCGAATCAGTTACCAAAAAATCGAATCGATTAGCATGAAGTACCAGCTCCATTTCCCATTCCCGACCAAATTGCGCTCGGAGATGGAAAATTGCCTCATCTCCATTAAATCAGAGATTGGCGAGAAATGGAAGGGGCCAGGTACCTTTCGGCGGACGGTAAATACGGAATTTCCGGCGGTGTCCATGAGGACAATCTCAGTCCGATTCGAAAACGAGTAGTTATCGACACGAAAGGCGAGGTTCCCCTTCGCATCGAAAACGGTGAACCCACTGCAGTTGAAGAGGAGCGACTTACGCCATACCGTGAAAGACGATGGCTCCAAATCGACTGCTATGTCTACGGCCGGGGATAGAGATGTCGGGGAATTAGGGTAGATCTTCGTCATTTTGTTGGCGTGATTCCCCGGCTGATTGCGACCGAAGGTCGAGCAGGGACTCGGAAGTGGGAATGAGGGAGACGGAATTAGGGCTCATGCGGGTGCGTATATATAGGTCTGGATAAACGAAAAAGCCCTCAATTGTCAGTATTTATTACCAGCGTGGCACAAGCACTAAGCAGTTGTTTCCGCGGTGTTTCTTAAATTATTTAATTAACCGGTTTAGCAGACTAAAGTTAGAAAAATGGAACACGTGTCAGGCAAGTGTGGAGGGGTTCAGCATCTTTGAGTGGGCGGCAGGTTAATAAGAGGACCGCATCCTGAATTTAAAGTTAACTAGGATTTATTTATTAAATCTGATAAATTTAAACTTAATAAATTTAATGATATTAAATTTAAATTTAGGTTTGTCTTTATTTCAGTTAAATTTAGTTAAATCCATAACAAATATTTTGCATTTGTTTTGAGCTTGTC